AAACCAAACTTTTTTGATTTGTATCTTGCAGCTGTGCATTACGTATGCCTAAATTATCATCATTTTTTAATAATGAATTTAATAATGATCCATCTGTAGAGGTGCACTCATCTTGTGGCTTCTGTGTCTCGGAAGAGGAATTGTAGTGGCCAACCTGGTAGCTCTCCTGAGATAATGGTTGCACCACAGCGACAGCCCGCGAAGCTGAACCAGTAGAGAAGGAGTTAAGAGATATTTCATTTTGTTTGTTAACTGCAGATGCCAAGGCCTGGGTCCCTTGAGTTGAAATACTAGAATTTAAATTCATTGGCTGAGATGCATCCTCTGTGGATTGAACAAGGTTTCCCTGGGCGAAGATGTTGGTTTGAGTTGCATTTCCACAACCCTCCAGAGTTGTTGTGACAGAAGAAGTCACTGCTCTGTTCATAGACTGGGGTTGTGAATCCACAGGCACAGGTTGACCAGTCTCTTTGTTGACAGGGTCTGGCTTGTAGAGGTATTCAAGAATTTGTTTCACGAGCACTTCTTTGGCATTATACCTGGGTTGAAACTTTGAAGTATCCACAATTGATGTAGGGGGTTGACTGTTTGTTGGCATCTCCCGATCAGTGGGTACCAATGGGCAGCCGTAAGAGTTTGAAGTAAAGTTTGAGCCGGCTGCTCTATGACGTTGAGATTGGGCTTTAATGTCACTTGAAACAACAGAATGAGAAATTCTTGGGTCTGTGGCATGACTGTAGATTCTGTTGTTACCATCCTGGTGGCTGTTTGCGGTGGCAGATGCTACACTGCCTGTGAAAACCCTCTGTCCCTGAGGATGTGAGGTGGCTGTGGACATGTAACTAGGCCAGGATTTAGCTTGCATGCCATTCACATTTTGATTAGATATCCACTGATTTTGTTGATTTAGATTAGATGATGTTCTTTCATGTTGTCCACTCATTTGCTGCTGTGCACTCGGTTGGTTCCAAGAATATGTAACATGTTGCTGTGTGCGGACAGACTGATGAGGGTTTATGCTCATGTTGCAGAAGGTTTGAGTCCTTGAATACTCACTGACCGTTTTTTTGGTGATTGCTGGTGTCCGATAAGAAAACCTGGAATATAATGCAGTGTTTTGACCATTTTGTTGGTAAACATTCGTTCTCCTCTGTGAATAGGGGTTAGCTGCTGCTCCAGGTTGTTGGAGTCTTACTGAGGAATTGTCCCACGTCCATTGGCCTGCAGTCTGTGAGTGCTGACCAGCTGTTTGGAATTGTCCATTCATCATCCTGGGAAGATGAAAGAACATCAATGTTACAATCCATGTTATGGTATGTACTTGTTATAGTAGTTTGTAGCCCGAACTGTGTCTCACTACTTTATTCTAGACCAGAGGTGCCTAATAAGTAGATTGGAATCTACCAGTAGATCGCAAAGGGAGTACTGGTAGATCATGAGCAATTAAAATAAAAATGAAGAATACTTTTTTTTATAATAAATCTGTCAGGTTCAAACAACCTAAAGACACAATAAATGAGAGAAGACGTCGGTAAACGTTAGATACTCGCGAGGAGAACGGTCAGAGATGTACTCAGTTACAATCTCCAACTCTTTTTATTTACTTCAAAGCACAGTCATTTACACACTTCCCTATTCTTTAAAGTCGAATCATCATTCTAAGAAGTCAAAAGTTTGTGCAAAGGTATAAAAAACAGGAAGTTGTCTGGTATTGCAAAGTGAGAGAAACACAGGAAACTTATTACCTATAGTTCTGCTAAGCAGAACTAAGTTCAAAACAAGTTAAAGTAAACAACAAACCATATAAGGCATATTTCTTAGGTGCAGCTTTGTAAGAAATACAGAAGTTGAGCTGTAGAGGATTACAGAGTCTTTGAATACAGCAAATGTAAATGATAATAATATATACACAATTCCAACAAAATCTCTTGAACTAGATTAGCAACAATACAATTATTGAATCATATTGTGCTATACAGATACAGCCATTTAATCAACATATAATGTTTACATAAAGTATATTTAGCTGATATGGTTAAATATATATTAAAATACATATATATATATATATATATATATGTATATGCTGTCATGTAACAAAAGAACAAGGACCTGAGGACAGACGCACAGTTGAGTGAGTTGTGAACTAATCATTTCTGTTCTTGTTAACGTAAAGATTATTTATCTAGAAGAATATGTGGTAATACATAGATATTGTACCAAATCAAGCACATAACTCAGTGTACAAAGGATGTACATGGCCTATTCATTACTGGAAAATCACTGAAAAAAACACACATTCTACAAATATTCCTTACTACATATTATGATCCTTTCTGTTACCATTTGTGAAAAATAATAAAAAATAAAAAACAGTTTGCTGAAAAATCCTAGATTGAGCTTGCTTATTTCTCTCTTACAGTATGTGCTGCATTGGGTAACATTTTTACATCACCTCTGTTTTCAGATGTAAATGTGAATGCAAAGAAAATAACAAACTTCAGAACAGTCCTGCTGACTGAGCTTATGCAGATGCCTGCCATGTGGCGAGAGAAGGTACTGCATGAAAATGAACAAATGCTCACTGAGAGAACTCATTACCCCAGGGTCATATGAAAGATTAGTTCCTATTGAACTACTCACTCATGAACGACACATCACTAGTATATGACAAGAGACCATCAGGAATGCTAATGAAAATGGACAAACCTAGATTTACATCTAGTCAGTGTTTTGCGTTAAGAAGGGGCCCAAACACACAGGATGTGTTGCACCAGCTTTCAAATTCTACCAGAAAAACAAAAACCAATAACATCAACACATTTGTGTGTGTCGCTGTCCTTTATTAGTCAGGTAATCTATGTGTATTGTGAACAAATTTCTCTTATTTATGTTTTAAGTCCTGAAGAAGTTGAATTCAGAATCCAAGTGTTGGATCATAATTTGCCTTTGGTTCGAAATCCATTTCAAAAGCTGGGCTAAAAGAAATTCAATTGTGTCTTTATTATTGTAAAAAGATAGGTCTACCAATGAGGCAGACCAGGACACACTTCTCCTTCTTGGGGGATTTATTGTATTAAAGGTTTCTGACCGTGGCAGGTTTTCTTCACTTTACTTCCTTTCCTCCTAAATAACAGTACAGCAAACATGGTCAGCTTCTTCCTGTTATTGCCCGTGCCTGGTGTTTCCTGTTATTCTGAACTGGCCCTTACATGATGTCACACAATAATCTCCACCACATCATCTAGGTTACTGTTTTGCGGTGGTGGACTCAATGTAGGTTTTCTGTACGGAGGAGTCGGATTAACTATGGTGATGATGCTGTATGACGTGACCTACGTTTTTTTTTGTTTGGGTTTTTTTTGTTGTTGTTGTTTTTTGGGGGGGGTTGGGTTTTTTTTTTTTTTTTTTTTGCTCTGCTGCAACTGTGTTTACCATGAATGACGCTAAATTTAACATTTAAAATGTTTCCTTAGGGGAAAAGGGTATGCATTTAACCTATCTGTTTATTATTATTTCTACTCGAAAAGAGACTCTTTGCTGCTGTAGTACCTACTGTAGTATCTGGAGCATATACGTATATGGATATTTGTTATGCAGTATCCAGGGTACTAGACGAATATCCAGCCGCACTATAGTTGTCTATGTGTCCATAAATTACCTAGCGTTGCTTGGAGGAGATGTCTCCTGTGTTCGTGCATGTTGATATTATCATGCAGGAAGTCGGTGTCAGCGGAGATTCCTTCACTCTGCATCTCAACATCATCAACACCGAAACAATTACAGCACTGCAATTTAAAGCACTTGTCGCTAGTTTTCTTTTTTCCAAAGTTGCAGTAGCCATAGCTTGCATTCCAATGAAGCTATGGTTCTTTCTATTTAAATGCCACACATTTTGCAGAAAAGCTAACAGTGAACTTACTTTATTCGGAGTAGTTCGTACTTCTCCGTTCGCTGGTCCTGGTAGTAAAACCAACAGCTGGTCCTTTCTCCGCAGCTTAAATCAGTACGCAAGAGAAGACCGTTATTTTGTAACCTACAGCCTCTAAGAAAAAACTTTTTTCCCTGGTGCTGGCCTTTCAATGTCCTGCTCTCGTCCAATGTGAGGAGAGCAGGCGGGGCAAGTGGTGAGATAGAGGTGGAGCCGGTGGAAGTTAGGGACCAGGAGATCAGGTAAACAAGCAGTTCTGGTAAGGAAGCATCCTCCATCTTCTATTCCTCATCATCTTTGTGAACAGTGTGACATTTGCCCAAAATAATGCACGCAAAGAAAAATAACTGCTCTTGTCGTGTTCTTTTATTGGATAATGAAGAGAAGCAATCAGGTTCCAATTGAAGTGGTCTTTATTTGCAGAGCTCTGGGTTGTTATGCTTGTGTTACAGGATGCGCATCGAGAGCCAAATTCTAATTCTAATTCCCTTCAGTACGCCGAGCGCATACTTTTATATCAACAATACATATTTTCCAAGAATAAATGTCTATGTGGGTTCTAAAGCGTATCTTCCAAGAATCAATGTCTATCTATTCCTTCTAAGAAATAGGTCTTGGTATGGTTGTGTCACCAAGTCACATCTACAGAGCATGCGCTATATGTCTATATGTAATATTATGTGGTTATGGAGCAAGCGGGTCTAGTGCAATGTTCATGCACCAGTGGCGTCTGGTGAAACCTTGTGTGGGTGGATCCTATGAGCAGGTCATGAGCAGTGCGTATATGGTGACATGATGCCTTCACAACTCTGCGAAGCTGTTGGTCTCTCAGCTCCCCCTCGCAGCGAGTAAAACTCACAACGTCGTCAGGTGTGGTTCTTTTCAGGTCATTCTATCTGTGGCAGTTAGATAACAATAGTGGTGGCATGTCTCCGATCCAGGGAAGTTCAAAAGGGTAAAAGTGTTTTGCAAAAACATGTGATCGAGGGAAAGAATACAGTGATTTAAGAATACAATGATTTATATAATGAAGCATGAAAAGAATGTGTGATATCTTGAAATAAAATCATTTATATGTTTTTAAATATATCTGCAGGTAACGCAAAATAGGGAAAGTGTCTGAATAAGACTAAGAGAATGATACTCTGACTAAAAGTGATTGATATAAGAAAGAGTCAGAAGAAGTGCTTAATGCTGAAATTAATAAGTTAAGAAATGTTGTGATTAACATTATAATCTTAAAAGAAGTGTGTAATAAATGAAAGAAACGTGCTGTGGTAAACTGTCAATGTCAAGGATAAAAAGAGAAAGTATGTGAACTGTTGGAAAGTACCGGAAAGATACAGGACTAAAAGGGGAAGTATGTGACCTGCTGGTTAGCACAATGCCTCAGGGTAGCTGGTGAGATGTGGCTTTGCAGGGGTTTTGTTTTTTGAACAGCCTATTCCCCCCTATTCCCCAGCCACAGACAAATAATAACACCCCCACCCCTCCAACAGCTCCAACACTTATCACCTCATCTACCTACACCAAGAATGTTTTGCAGACACTGGTCACTTTGAAATCTCTCTTGCACAAATGCACAACTTTAATGTTAAAATCTGTAGTTCTATGTATAATGTATACAGTATATACTTCTGCTCAACTTGCACTACCTCCTGGTATCCTTTTTACAGTGTTTTTTTACAGTTTACACTACAAGGTTTTGGGGTTTTTTCTCCTGTTGTGGTGCATAGTGGCTCTGTGGGAGCACCTTCAATGACAATAAAGGCCATTCTATTCTATTCTATTCACGTCTCGCTCTCTGATAGCAAGAGTCAGTCTATTGGTGGAGGTGAGGGAGGGAGCTGGAGTGGGATGAGGTGTCGGAGTTCCTGCAGTAAGTGTGGTGGCCGTGACCATGCCCGGGAAGGTGTCAGGACAGACCTTTTGTCTTTCAAAGGGACAGTAGTGGTCGTACAACTCATTTGCAAAGAGCATATTGTTAATGGAGTAGGGGTGATTTGCTGGTGAACTGCTGGTGATTTGTCTGGGACCTCTCCGAACATAAGCAGAGTCGTTAGCTGAGGACTGGTGTTGAAGTACCTGGGTGGCTTGATATAGTTTGAACTCTGTGCCTACAGCTTGTGGACGAATCACCCGCACATTTCCACTCAGATACAAAATGTACTCCATAGTTGGGATTTCAAATACCTGAGCCTACGGTGCTGTAATGGCTACAAGAGCCAGTATTGTACCAACAGTCTCTTTCTCCAACACTTGGAAGGTCTGGTACTCCTCAATGGGGGAGTTCCACTCACACTGACATCTCTCTTCCTCTCTTAAAAGATTAAAACTCATTCTCAGATTAAGCTGAGACAGTACATTAACTGCAGTTTCATATGCAACTGCATGCTAAACCTTTACTATCTAACTGTACATAGCCTGACTGGGAATTGTTTTTATTTTTTCATTTTGTTTTCTTCTTAGAGAGAGATAGGATATACAAAGTATAATGATAATATGA